ACTGCGTATATATATATATATTTATTTATTTTGCCTTTTTTTTACCTTTTTTGAAGGCTTTCATTTTCATTAAATTAAATATTTTAAATTTTCAGACGCATTTGACATATGAAATATTTGGAGAAAAAATTTTTTCAATTGCGCTGTTTTTTTTCAGTGTTTTTGATTCATTTTTTGCATGTTTTTGAATTTTACTTCATATTCAATTCAAAGAGTTGGTCCTGGGCATGACATAAAACTGCATACTGCCTGCCTCGCAGAAATTCTCGAGCGTAGAAGGATTGACATCTGCTGCCTTTAGAAAACCCAATGAAAATCGAATGGTGTCTGTCATGTCAACTCAGACAAAGAAAAATATAAACAATTTTGGAATGGTCAAAAGACGGCCAAAAATGGTGTTGAAATTTTTGTCAGAGAACCGCTAGCCCAAGAAGTACTGGATATTAAAAGGATTAATTCACGTCTTATGTGGATCAAGCTTCGCATAGAAAAGAAAACAATGGTTATTTTTTCGGCATACGCACCACAGACAGGCGAATCAGAAGAAATGAAAAATGACTTCTGGGCTGCGTTCTCTGACACCATCTCAACAATACCAAAATCTAAAACAATCCTGATTGGAGGCGATCTCAATGGCCACGTTGGAGAGAAAACAGATAGTTTTTACAACGTACATGGCGGTTTTGGCTATGGAGAACGGAATGAAGATGGCAACCGCATCCTTGAGTTTGCTGAAAGTCACGGGTTTTGTTTCCTGAACACATATTTTAGAAAGAGGTTGGAACATCTCATAACATACAAAAGTGGATCATCAGCAACGCAAATTGATTTCTTCACTGTCAAGCAACAACACCGAAGGCTATTCAAAAATGTCAAAGTTATACCTGGCGAATCATGTGTCGCCCAACATAGACTCCTTGTGGCAGACCTTGTTGTCGAACTGTCAAAACATAAGTCTAAACAAATGCCTCGGAGAATCAAAAAGTGAAAGCTGAAAAGCAATATTCATCGAGAAAAATTTCAACAGATTGTCGCCACACAGTTAGACCACCAATCGCAAGCCAGTACAGATTGGAGTACATACAAAACCGTTTTGATAAACGCTGCAACTACAGTTGTGGGAAAACTGGTACAAAACGTCAGCATGAACGTGACACTTGGTGGGGGAATGACAGTGTACAAAATGCAATAGCTGAAAAGAAAGCTGCATACAAGCAATGGCAATGTTGATGACCATAATATTTTCCGTGAGAAGAACAACTATGCAAAACGTCAAGTTGCACAGGCTCGAACAGATCAGTGCAGAGAGTGCAAAGGTGAACAAATGAAATCTCTGGATCGTATAGAAAAACAAGCAAAACGTACGAAAAAAGACAGAAAAAGTTGGTGCCTCATGTACCAAAAATGAAAAAAATGAGATGGTTCTTGAACAAGATGAGATCAAGCTACAGTGGAGAGAATATTTTAACCGTCTGTTAAACGAAACAAATCCCATCAATGTTAACTTTGAAGCTCCACCCATCGAAGGTCCGATTTCAGACATCACTGTAGAGAAGCTTACAGAAGCTCTGAAAGCTATGAAGGATGGAAAAGCAGCAGGGCCCTCTGGACTCACAAATGACATTATCAAAACATCTGGTACTGCAGGTAGCTAAACGTTACTACAACTTTGCCGTGAAATCTGGAGAAATTGCTCAATGCCGACTGAATGGAACTATAGCATGACAGTCCCGCTATACAAAGGCAAAGGTGATCCATTGAACTGTTCATCATATCGGGGTATACGTCTGTTAGAACACTTCCTGAAAATTGTCGAGAAAATCATTGAGAGAAGATTAACGTCGTTGATGCAATTCACATCTTTCGGCAACTGCAAGAGAAGTACCTCGCAAAGCATCAACAACTATCACACATTTTTGTAGACCTTGAAAAAACATTTGATCGAGTTCCCCGTGATGCAATCAGGTGGAGTCTACATCGACAACTTATTCCAGAATATCTTGTTCGATTTGTGATGGAAATGTATACGAATACTAAGACTCTCGTCAGCACAGCGGTTGGAAACACAGATGCATTTGACATCGGCGTTGGAGTTCACCAAGGCTCGATTCTCAGTTCACTGTTATTTATAACTGTAATGGAAGAAATCACAAAACCGATACGCACTGGTGACATTTGGAATCTAATATATGCTGATGATATCGTTTTAACAGCCACGTTTGAGCAGAATGCAGCACAGATGTTTGAAGATTGGAACACCAGACTCGCCGATCATGGATTCAAAGTCAACATCAGCAAAACCAAAGCAATGAACCCTGCTGATGAACCCTGATGAACCCATCCAATCCACAGCTACTGGACGATGGCCCTGTTCAGTTCGTAAAGCTAGTGTAGGTAACAATTCAATCAAGTGTCAGCAGTGCAACCAGTGGTGTCACAAACGTTGTTAAAAAATAATTGTTAATTTATCTAAAGTGTCCAATTTTGTTTGTCCTGCTTGTATCAATCCACAACAACAACAAATTCGAAATAGCCCTGTTTTTGATACCATTAAGGTAGAGAAAGTCTCATCGTTTCAATATCTTGGGGATGTTCTGGATTGTACTGGAACAGCTGAAGCTGCCGTTCGATCACGTATACGTGCAGCATGGAATAAATGGCATCTCCTTGCCTATATATTTCGGCGTGACATCCCACTACCACTACGATCAAGACTTTATAAATCTGTGATACGTCCGGTCTTATTATATGGTGCAGAAACATGGCCAATGACAACCAAACTGAAACAACAACTTCAACGAACCGACATGAAAATGCTCAGATGGATGCAACGAATTAGTCTGAAAGACCACATCAAATCAACCAAAATCCTGCGTCGTGCTGGTCTAGATGATATAAAGGACGAATGCCGTCTGCGGTGGTTTGGTCATGTGAAACAAAGTGGAAACAGTGCCATAACTTCTCTTGCAGATATTGAAGTACCTGGCACACGTCCCAAAGGCCGTCCAAAGAAGTCCTGGTTGCAAACAATCGAGCAAAACATGAAAGCTCTAAATTTAAATGAAATGGATACAACTGATCGTCTAATTTGGCGCAAAAATTGATGGCAAAGAAAACAACGTCCTACCTCTGGGAACCGGGTCTCTGGACGCAAAACGAAGATTGATTGATTGGTTGATAGAAGCACCAAAAAGTCTTTTGGCAATGCTTTATAAGGGCTCACAACACAATTAGAAAAATATTATTGCCATTTCAACATGAAAGCCGGCATATTCGTAACAAGCATTAAGTTACGAATATGATTGCCCTGTAAGGTATAAAACAAACTAGATACGAAACCTCGTAGACCGAGCATATTACATATGAAATATAGATTATGTTTTTCCAACAGCTTTTTCTAAATAAATGGCTAACATCAAACAACTAAAATCAATAACAAATTATCCGGATCGCATCAAACAATTGTTCATCATTTAATCTGATTGCTTCGTCGAAAGTTTTCAAGAAATAAATTCCAAAAGTTTTAAATCAACGATTAAAAATTACAATAATAATAACGACACTCCCCTAATCACCGAACCGCATTTTAATCGTTTACTATTTTATGTATTTATTTATTGATAAATCTGACCGGAGGGCTTAACAGACCACTTAACATATCCAGCCATAAAAAGAACGATTTATAAAAAACAAAAACGTACACCAAAAATTATGAAAAAAGTATAAGATACTATAATTAGTTAGTTCAATGGTATTAGCTAGACTAAAACAATAAAAAAATAATATTTAAATGGGTAAATCGCAACGATGACTCCATAAAAGATGTAAATGACAAAGACGCACATAAATTTTAAATCAATTCATAGAAACAAACGGACTATAGTAAGAATAAATAAATTATTAATTAACAATATTGGAATATTTAATTATTAAAAATTTGTTTAAATCAATAGACAGAAGGTTATTTTTAAAAATAGTAAATTAGACAACTTCTGCTGGCAAAATGTTCCAAACACGAATTATCATGTTACAGAAAAAATATTTAGTTGTGTTGTCATTAGTGTTGAAATCTCGCAGTCGACTTGGATGCCCACGAGTTGACAAATAACATGAAGGGATGAAATGAACACTTAAGTCAGAATGAGGTTTTGTAGTAATTCGTACGATGTACAATACAAATCGAAAATCAACCTACGTTTTTCTTTTGTATGCAATCCAACTTCATGTAATCTGGACAAGTATGAAAGATGACGTATAGAGGGAATAGATTTGGTAAATCTTCTCTGGACATTTTTAATCTTAGTCACTTGATACTCATAGTAAGGATTCCATACTGATGAGTAATATTCTACCAGAAGACTTACGTAGGTGCAAAAAGCTTTTGAGAGTAAGTCTTTATCTTTGGACGTGAAGCATCTGTAGATTAAGCGTGCACGCGAGGAATACTTGTGAGTGATGTCGTTTATATGCAGATTAAAGTTGAGATGGTTGTCAATTATCACTCCTAGATCTTTGGAGTCGTTTGTACGTGTTAGATTGAGTGTAGACGTGGAGCTGTATGATGGAAGAAATGAGCAATGAGAACATTTATCTTGAGAAAGCGGTAGCTGCCATTTATTACTTCAAGAAACTCCTGCTGAAGATGAACTTTTTAAGTTGTGTAAAGTTACAAATACTATGTGAGAAGTGAAACAGATATCTTCTAACAACTTTGTGGTAAGACAAGGTATGCAAAATAAATGCATACCAATTACCGGACTGACAAACGAGCCATTGAAAACATCATCAAAATTTGTGTTCAACTTTTAAACAAAATAAACTTCACATATGTCAACGCAATTTAAAAACATCTTAACCTCTAATGAAAATCAACAATACCACAAATTACAAAATGTGCAACACCCAACTTAAAAAACTGGGCGGAGTAACTGAAAATACATTTGGCCAACGCCGAACGGTAACGACGTTAAGTCTACGTTCAGAAATAAGTTTAAACAAACCTTGACATACAAGAGATGAAGGTGTTTCTCCTGGGTGCACCCTAGATGTTATAAAAACAACTTTTTTCTTTGCCGATAAAGTTCTATGGTTTGTTATTGATATAATATCTAATCTTCTTTGTTGCTAAAAACGATTAATTATGCTGCTTTTTATAATCTAAAACAGACAAATAAATACATACGGTAGTTGTACACAAAAGTTCTCGTTGAAAGCACTGTAAATTTTTAAACTCAATTCCATCGAGATAATTTTGTAACTTTGTATATGAATATGGAAAACAATACGCAAATTGATATGTATCATCTTCAGAATCAAAGCAGAAAGCAAATGACATTACGTAATTTTTATTATGATCTGGACATCTATAATAAAAAACGTTGTGATGTGGAATTCTCACCCTGATTTAAATATATTAACACAATCAAATTTATTTTAAAAAAAATGATTTATTTTCCCTCACCAATTTGGACGTGATGTAGTTTTTACAACCGGCGACATTCCATTTCTGTATAACGACTTGGTCTTACTAAAATTGACTATGTTAAATATAACTCTCTGATCAAAAAATTTGCCATTAATTATTAAAGATTCAAATATTAAAAAAAATTTATTACAACTTGTCCATAAACCACATTATCGACTGTAAAATTGAACCAAACGCGAAACCTTGAATTAAATGTATCAGGACGAATGTAGAGATCGTATTCAAATTCGGATACGTAATCAATTTTACCTAAATTCCCTTATTGAAAATTGTTTAAAAATGAATAATGAATTTTTGAACCATGTAATAGGATAACGCAAAAGTGGGCAAACTTTTTCTATTAAAAGCCACTAAGATTTTGGAACCGCATTATGGGTGCGTTTGAACCACATAACTAGAATAAATATAACGGCCTTCCTTCACTTTTAATGGTCGAACAAGGAGCTTTCTTCCGGAGGGGATTTGGAGGGTGATTTTTTTATCGTTCGAGTCAAAAGTTACGATCGTATATTTACTAATTTCGGAATATTGCTTTTATTTATAATGTTAACATTTTAGTTTTTTTAATTGTTATTTAATGTGGTAATTAATTACTTTTATTTGGTATAAATTTAAAAAAATAAAATTGACGTTACCAAAAATAGTTAAAAGTTGAAAAAATTCAGGTTTTTGCATATCCCTGCTTCAACCCATAAGAAAGTTTTGTTTATTGGTAAATAGGCCTCCCATTTGTTTGAATTGTTGTCGTTGTTTTATGTTGTATTTTGCAAATTTTAATTTGAAGTTTTAACTTTGGGAGAACTGACAGATAACTGACAGATACTGTTCAATAAGTTTCTGTTTGAAAATTAAATTATTTTTGTGAGTTATGGTTGAAAATATTTTACTCGAAATTTCAAGCTCAAGTTTCTCACTATCATCAATAACCGTTACATGATACGCGGCGATCAAAAGATGCATTTTGAACACCCTTCAATCACCTAAGAAAACCACTGATACACTTAAATTCGTAGATTTTGTTTGCAGTTGCTTGAAAACAGCATAAACGGTACGTCAAACTTTTCCCATAACAAAAGTAGTACAAAAAATTCCAATTTTGTTATATGTTCCATTAAACGCTTGGTATTGTTCCGTCTATTTGCATTTTTTGAAGATAGTTTCAGATGCGCCAATGTTTTTATGACAATTGGATGTTGCTGAATAAGTGCTGATACTGATTTGTGCCAACCAAATTGAACTCAAATGTTTAAAAGTGTACACTTTGGTGACAGATCCAAAAGCTTGAAGCAAAGCCCAATTTGAGGCACTATACCCAAAAAATGTATACACTTCTTCCACTATACTAAAAAATATTTTAAATTCAGCACAACATTCAGCTGCATCATGTAGTCTTCTTCTTAATGCAATGGGCGTAGTAAATAGCAAATTAAAAGATCCAGATGAATTAAAAACGATGACTCAAATGAAGATGAGATAGCAAAATACCAAACTGCTTTGAACAAATTCAATAAAGCAGAATGTAATGCTATGATAATTCTGTCAACCAATACGACCGATGAAACGTATGAAAAAGTTTGTTCATTTATAATGCCAGAGATGTTTGGCTAGAACTTCATAGATTGTATGATGAAGTTAATGAAGATAAAGCATACAATTTATGCATGAAGTTCTGCAGTTATAAAATAGATGGAAGTGATGATGTTGTCTCTCATGTTTACGATCGTCTTCTTCTTCTCGCTTTTTCTTAACTCGTGTTAAACACTCTTTTGCCAAATCTGCTTTTGCTTTTTTTGGTCCTTTTCTCTGGAACTCTCTACCTACTTCTCTGACTACTTCTCCATCACTTACGAAGTTCAGAGCGAATCTCAAGACCCATCTGTTTTCAAAACTCATTGAGGAGCGCTGTTGAACATCGCGGAAATAGCGATTTGTAATCTAATTGATTGATTGATTGATTGATGATTGATTGGTTGATTGATTGATGTTACAAAACTCAAGAATCTTTGAAAAGATTTGAAGGTCGAGTTAGGAAAAGATGAAAACAGTTACTTATTGCTGAAGTGTCAAATAATTGAAATTTTGCCAGAAAAATATTTCTCATTTGCTGCTAGTTGGAGGTTGTTAAACAAGAGTGAAAGAATAGTTGGAACATTCACAGATCAATTGTGTAACTATGAAAGATCCTTGGAAGGCAAAACTGAAAGTAATAAAGTATTATTTGTCAAAGCAACAAATGAAAAGTCATCTCAAAACATGAAAGGTCAGAAACAAGATAAATTTGACAGCAAATCAGAGCGGCTATGTCATTACTGCAAATTGCCAGGTCACATTGTAAGAAATAGTAAAAATCGACATTTCGATAATAAACCAGCAAAACCAAGAAATAACAATCAACGCGATCACAATAAGAAATCACTAGTTGTTATGGAATCAAGTGTTTTTGAAATTGATGAGTCAGCGTACACTGATGAATGGTTTTTTGACAATGGTGCAACGTGTCATCTAACTTCCCGAAAAGACTGTAGAAGCTTTTGGAAAAGAAATTGTTCATCTTCAAGTGAAAGTGAATAATAAATGACAAACGGTTAAACTCACAAATGTCTGGTGTTGCCAAAAGTAAAAAGAAACTTGTTCTCAGTACTTGCAACTCAAGATAAGAACAGAAATAGCTCTTTTGTATCAACACAAGAAGTTGTCATCTTCTTATTGACAATGTGATAAATGTTGTTGGAATAAAAAACAATAACAGAGATTTGTTCAAACTTGTAGCAAAAACTGTTAGACCGTTGAATTCTGAAGTTGAAATTAACTTTCTCAATGATCAAGATGCAATGCAGTTGCAGGACATCAGAATAAGAAACATGTTAAAATGGTCATGAAACGTGAACTAAACATCGATATACCTGTAGATAGTGACTTATGTGAAGGATGTGTCTATGGAAAGTTACATCGATTGAAATTTGGAACTCGAGTAAGAGCATCAAGACCAGGAGAATTAATTCGCACTGATGTATGTGGTCCTTTTTGCTTCTCATTTCAAAATTTCAAAGATGATTTCACAGGCTACAAAATCAGATGTACCAGGAAGACTCAGTCAAATGCTTGCAGAGTCAAGATCAGCTGGTCATAAAGTCTCAAAAGTATTAACTGATAATGGAGGCGACTTTGACAACAAAGAAGTCAGATAAATTTTGCAAGACGAAGAAGTTAGACAACGCATAATTATGCCTTATACACCTCAGCAGAATGGTTGCAGTGAGCGTAATAATCAAACGCTAGTTGAAGCAGCAAGAGCCATGAGACTGGCTCATGAAGAACTGCCTCAGGCCCTTTGGGCTGAATTAGTTAATACTGCGGCTTACATACTCAACCGAACTGGACCATCTTTTGTAGAAGGAAAATCACCATATGAATTTTTGTTTAACAAGAAACCTAAGAAAACTTATCTACGAATCATTGGTAGCACAGCCTATGTTCATATTCTTATGCAGAAACGACGAAAAATGGATACTAAAGCTGTAAAGGGTATACTTGTTGGATATGAATGGCTAAAGAATGGCTAAAGAATTTTTAATCAACCAGGAAATAAAATGCTTCGATCAAGAGATGTTATTTTTGATAAGAAGGTTGTCAAACCAAATTCAGTGATTTTGTAAGAAAAAAGTTGTTCAGATGATACAGTTTCGATTGATGATGAAATCAAAGATGATAATAAAGAAACTTTGATTAAAGAAAGTATTTCAACTGATGAAGGTGTTCACAACCGTAGTTCAGTTTCATCTGATGAAAAAGATCAATCTGATTGTTTTAATCAAAAGACCAAAGGTATGGTTTTACGTGACAGGAATAATATCAAAAAGCTATCTCGTTAAATTCCTTTAGTTATGTCTGCATTTTGTGAAGTACTTGAACTAGAGAGCTACAAAGATGCCATTCAAAGTGATGAAAAAGATGAATTATTTAAAGCCATGAACAGTGAAATGCAGTCATTAGAGGAAAATCAAACGTGGGATTTGGTAGATCTTCCAAAAAATCAAAAGGCAATACCATGCAAACGGGTCTACAAAGTAAAACACAACCCAGATGGTTCTGTTGAACGTTTTAAAGCCAGGCTAGTGGTAAAAGGTTTTTCGCAGAAAAAGGGAATTGACTACGAAGAAACCTATAGCCCTGTGGTCAGAAGTTCAACTATAAGAACATATTAAGTGTTGCTGCAATTAAAAAGATGTCACTCACGCAGTTGGATGTGTCTACAGCATTTTTATACCGCAAACTAGATGAAGATATCTACATGGGGCAACCTGAAGGTTTTAAAGATAATTCAGGAAGAGTCTGTAAACTCAAGCAAAGTCTCTATGGATTTAAACAAGCTCCAAGATGTTGGAACAAACGCTTTGCTAAATTCTTGAAAAAAGAGACTTTCCAAACAAAGCGATGCAGATACTTCTTTGTTCATTAGAATACAGAAAGGAAATCAACTCATATTTGCACTGAACGTTGATGATGGACTAGTTGCAGGAACCGATAAAGAAGAACTAAAAATTTTTGAAAAAGAGTTTAAGTCAAAATTAAAGTCATCTAAACCTGCAACATATTTTCTTGGATTAGAAATTAATCAAGATGAGAAGGGAAATATTAAAGTCAATCAGTCATCGTATACAAGAATGATTCTTGAAAAGTTTGGGATGAGCCAGTGTAAACCTTGTACAACTCCGATTACAAAATCTAGATGAAGACAGAAATGAACACGAGGAAGTGAAATTTCCTTACAGATCAGCAGTTGGTGCATTGATATACTTGATGACGGGAACAAGACCAGATATTGCATATGCAGATGGAGTAGCATCCAAAAGTTTTGAAAAACCCAGCAAGTCCAATGTAATTGTGTTACAAATTTTCAGATATTTGCAAGGCACAGCTGGTGTCGGTATTGCTTACAAGTTTGGTCAAAACAATACACTAATAACCTACAGTGATGCAGATCATGGAGGAGATAAATCTAGTAGAAAATCGACATCAGGTGTAATCTGTATGTTTGGAAGAAGCGTGATCAGTTGGTTTAGCCAACGTCAACCCTCAGTTGCGATTTCAACTGCCGAAGCAGAAATCATTGCCGCAAGTGAAGCCGCTTGTGAAGTGATATGGCTCAAACGATTGTTGAACGACATTGTAGATCTAAAGAAAAAGCCAAAATTTTTGTCGACAATGACGCAGCGATTCGTTTAGCACATAATCCAGAACTTCACAGAAGAACAAAGC